GGAAGGGTGGATGGACAACACAGGAAAGGAAGACCCTGGAGGAGATGGATTGATACAGTAACTGGGGCAGTAGGGGTTGGTGTGTCCGAGTTAGTGAGACAAGCTCAGGACAGAACAGCCTTCAGAGCTGGTGTACATAGGATTTCTATGGGTTGCAGGTGGCTTGATGGCACGTAACAACAACAGTAACATTTATAGTCAGTTGTTAAATGTCATCAACTAAACTCCAACTCATAGACACTCTGATTCATAACAGTCCTACATACAACAAACATAAACCCTGCCCAATTTTGTGCCATTCTTGCAATCTCTGCTGTACTTTTAAGCCTGTTGTTGCAGTCCCAACTGTCTCACTGTGGTCTTCCTCTCCATTGCTGACTTTCTATTTTTCCAAACATGATGTCTGTTTCCAGAGACTGGCCCTGCCTAACAACATGCACAGTATATGTGAGGCCGACTCTCATCATCCTGACAACATATACCATATATGTGAGGCCGAGTCTCATCATCCTTGCTTTTAAGGAGCATCCTGAATACAGCTCTTCTGAGACATATTGGTTTGTTCATTTAATAATCCATGGTATGCATATTCATGACTCTTTGCCAATACCTTACTTTGAAGGCATCAATTCTTCATTGGTCTTCCTTATTCATTGTCTGTCCAGTTTTCTTGTGCATATGAAACATTTGAAAAAAACATGGCTTGGACAAGGTCCACCTTAGTCTTTAAACGGACATCTGTGCTCTTTAACGCTTTAAAGAGATCCTTGATAATAGACATGTTTAATTAAGCAATTTATTTGATTTCTTGACTACAAGTAAAATGAAATCTTTGGCAAATTTTGTCTTTTCTCCGTTTATCATGATGTTGCCTTCTGATATTGCCATGATGTTGACCTAATTGTGAATATTTTTGTGGTGGGTTTTTTTTTTTACTGTCATTCTTTTTATTGTTCAAATTGGCATAAATATACTTTATAAAAATTTTACATTGGTTTGCATTCTAAGTTGATATACATTTTGTTTCACACTATCGTTTATTCACTTTGTTTCATACAATCATTCTTGCTATATAAATCATTTTATAAATCAGTCATCATTGAACCATGCCCACCATGACCTTGTCTTTTCAGATCCTTCCCCCTCTCTGATCTTTCCCATTATTTTTGTTTTCTTGATGCTGTTGTGAGATCCATACTAAAGGCTGTTGACTTTGATTATCTTCAGTAAATGCAGAATGAAATGTTTCACGTTCTCTTCACTCACCAATGTTGTGTCATCTGTATAATGCAGGCTGTTGAGTTTTCCTCCAGTCCTGATACTATATTCTTGGAATATTTTTATAAAGTAAAAGGGCCGAACTCACTCAGCATTTCTTAAGCTCAAGGAACTGAAGAACAGATTCAAACCTAGAATTGCTGTAATCAAGGATGCTTTGGGCAGAATATTAAATGA